CTGAAAGTCAAAGGACGGAAAATAATACTACATGCCCCAGCACCTCAGAAAAAAGCAGGGGTAGCAATCCTATTCTCAGACAGTCTCAACTTCAAACCAAGAATGATCAAATGAAATAAAGAAGGCCACTACATACCATTTAGGGGAAAAATTCAAGAGGAAGAGGTAACACTCATAAATGTATATGCACCAAACACAGAAGCACCCAACTATATAGGACAAATCTTAATGGATAAAAAAAAAATCTAATATCCAATACCACAATCTCAACAGGAGACATTAAAAGTCCCTTATTCCAAAAAGACAGGTCAACCAGACAAAAAATTAGCAAAGAAGTAGCAGAACTGAAGCAGAGCTTGGAACAAATGGACTTAGTGGACATATATAGAGTGTTCCACCCAATGACAGCTGAATATACCTTTTTTTCAGCTGCACATGGGTCAGTTTCTAAAATAGACCACATACTGGTCCATAGGTCATGATTAGGTATATGCAAGAAAAAATTATCCCATGCATATTATCTGACCACAGTACAATGAAACTGGAAATAAACAAGACAAGGAAACAGAAAAACCTCATAAATACAAGGAAATTAAATGACACCCTACTCAGCAACCAATGGGTCACAGATGAAATTAAACAAGAAATTCAATAATATCTACAATTCAATGAGAATTTAAGCACAACTTATTGGAATGTATGGGATGTGATGAAAGCAGTTCTCAGAGGGAAATTTATAGCTACGAACTCACACAATAGGAAAACAGAAAGGGAACAAATAAACACCATAAGGTTGCACCTCAGACATCTAGAAAAGGAAGAGCAAACAAAACCCAGAGCCCAAAGAGGGAAAGAAATCATAAAGATTAGAGCAGAAATTAATTCAATTGAGATGAAGAAAAACAATTCAAAAAATTAAAAAAGCAAAAAGCTGGTTCTTTGAAAGATTAAATAAAATCACGTCCTCGGCGTGGCTGCAGGGGAGGCCGCGGCCGGGAAAATGGTGGACCGAAAGGCGGGAGAGGAGAAGCCTGAGAAGTCGAAGCGAGCTGGAGCCGCCGGAGGACCTGAAAAAGCAGAAAAACCTGTGAAAACTAAGACTGTTTCTTCCAGTAATGGAGGGGAAAGTTCCAGTCGCAGCGCTGAGAAGCGATCAGCTGAAGAAGAAGCTGCAGACCTCCCAACAAAG